AGGTTTCTTCTTGCCTGTGGCACCCCAGCCGTGGCCCCCTCATCTCCCGGCTCCGCTTCTGTGCCTGGGTGGCGGCCTCGCCCAGTCCCGCCACGACCCATCCATTTAAGTTGTTTCAGAGAATCAGCTTTCAGCCCCAGTGGCCTTTTTCTTTTCCAGAATATGTTTCTGCCCCTTTTCTGTGTGTTTTCTTCACGTCTTTGTCCGGGCCTGCTCTGTCCTGTCGCTCACCTCTTAAACTGAGCACCTGCTTTTCCTGACCTGTGTGTGCCTCAGACGGATACGTGGCACTTGGATTACTTTTTATTTCTGAGCATTTCCTGAGTTCTGTCGATGACTTCTTTGACCCGTGATCGGTGGGTGTGCGGGTTTTTGTTCGAATTTCCAAACCTAAAGGCTCACAGCTCTCGTCTGTTACCAGTTTCTTCCGGCTCGTGCATTGGCAGGAGCAGGAGGTATGGCTGCAGGGACGCTCGCTCCGCGGCCGGAGCGCGGTCCGTCTGCGAGGACGCTCCCGGTGTGTTGGAAGGAGCACGCCTCCTCCGCCCGTCTCCCTGGGCTCTGTCCTCTCCTCCAGGCCTGTTGTACCGTCCACATTTGGTTTTCTCTGTTGACTTCTGCCTGCTCTTTCTAAGGAAGACGGGCCACCCTCTCCTCCCACGGCGCGCCTCTGTCCACCCACTTTGGTTCTGGCGACATTCACCTCCTACGTGTTGAGCGAATTTCGCCAAATGTGTGCAAATTTTAAGTCCTGTCCTTTCGGTGAATCGAAAGTTGTATCACTCGTAGAGCCCTCCTTTATGTCCAGCCACGGTTTCCCGCTCACGCACGTGGTGTGGACCACTGACCGTGTCCTGAGGCTCCTGCTCTGGCTTGTCTCTCTCCTCCTGCCTTCCAGCCCCCTCCTCTCTCAGCATAAGGCTGGATTTCATCCTGATTTTTATTTTTTTTTTTTTTTTTTTTTTTTTTTTTTTTTTAAAGGTTTTTTTTTTTTGGGGCCGAGAGAGACAGAGCATGAACGGGGGAGGGGCAGAGAGAGAGGGAGACACAGAATCGGAAGCAGGCTCCAGGCTCCGAGCCATCAGCCCAGAGCCTGACGCGGGGCTCGAACTCACGGACCGTGAGATCGTGACCTGGCTGAAGTCGGACGCTTAACCGACTGCGCCACCCAGGTGCCCCTCATTCTGATTTTTATAGCCAGTCCGAGGTGTGGCCCTTAAGTGGAGACTCTGGTCCTTAAATGTCCTTTGTTGCTCTGCTGCTTTTTCCAGACTCGCGTCCACATCTTGCCCTGCCCTGCGCTCCCCCGGTTTCCGCAGCACTTTCTCACCAACGGCTTCTGGCCTCCTCTCGCCGTGAGGACCTGACGGGGGGCTCCCCACGTTCCACCTGCCCCCGCTGCGTAGGAGGGCTACACAGCCGGTTGTGGTTTCCAGTAGTGATCTTTACACACACTAACACGTACCCGTGATGTGGTCAGTGGCCTCTTCCCTCCCCCTGCCCCCTGGACCCAAGCGGGGCCGTGCACTAAACGACACCCTGTTGGACGTGGTTGTACAGAAAAGCTACGTGCTTCCCGTAACTGACCTGTGCCTGGTGCCCTGCGTGTTTATTTGCTCTGTTGGGAGCCCCCCTCTCCAGCCCCCTCCCGGGTCACGTGCGATCCCTGACCGGCAGCTCATGCCTCTTGCTTGCTTTTTTTTTTTTAGCTTCGCCGGGATGGCACCATTCCCGTGGTGTTCTGTGGTCCCTGTTTCTGTGGCCTTTCCTGCATTCACGTTCTTTGCTCATTTCTTCTCGCTTCTCAGACCGTCACCTGGGACCACTGTGCCTTCAGCACGAGCACGCCCCCTTACGTTTCCCCGGAGAAGGACACGGCCGTCACCTTCCCCGTTTGCCTGCTTTTATTAAAGGCGTGATTTTACCCTCACGCGTGAGTGAGCAGGGGTGCCCCTCTGGGATGGCCGTCACTTTCTCTGGGCACACTGAAACAATCACACCCTGTCTTGTCGCTTTCTTGGCTGTGAAGCAGCCAGTGCCTGGCTCACCGGCTCCTTTGCACACCGTGTTCTCCGGCTGCTATCAGAGCTCTCCGCTGGTCTCTGATGTCGCACAGCCTCACTGGTGTGCACAGGGGTGGGTGTCTCGTATGATTCTTCCTGCTCGGGTCTCATCCCCCCTTCTGGACGGGGGATCCTTCCCGTCAGTCAGTCCTGGAGACGCCTCGGCCGTGGGCGCCCCTAACAACCCCTCCCCACCCCCTGGACACTGAGCAGATGAACGGAGCCCTTCCCCCTCTGCCCGCTCCCCTCGTCCCTGGTGCATTCAGGCCACCCCTTCTGCTGTTGCTTCCAGGTTATCAGTTTTCTCTTTCTCTGATCCGAGTTTCCAATTTCTGCTGTTACGTTTTCATCTCTAGAAGTTCTGTTTGGCTCTCTTTCAAATCCTCCAGGTACAATAAAGATTTCAGGAGCAGTATCTTATTTTTAACGCATCTTAAACCTACTTACTGCATAGTTTAAAACTGATCATTTCGGGGCGCCTGGGTGGCTCAGTCAGTTGGGTGGCCGACTTCGGCTCGGGTCATGATCTCGCGGTCCGTGAGTTCGAGCCCCGCGTCGGGCTCTGTGCTGACGGCTCAGAGCCTGGAGCCTGTTTTGGATTCTGTATCTCCCTCTCTCTGACCGCCCACCCCCCCCCATTCATGCTCTGTCTCTCTCTCTATCTCAAAAATAAATAAACGTTAAAAAAAAAATTTAAAAACTGATCATTTCAAGAACTGCGGTCTTTGAGGACATAAATCTGTGGGTTTTTTTACTAGACCTTTAATCCTGGATAGCTGACCCTTCGGACGGTTTCCTCTCAGCCCGTCTGACCTCAGCCTGGGAGCCAACCCTGGACGGCACTGCTCATGCCCAAACACGCCCAGCATTCGCTCGCCTTCCCACGACTGCCCCTCCCGCATCGGGCTCCATGCGGGACCCCACCGTGCGACCGGCCATGCCCTGTCCTTACCCTCTCTGGGCTGTGGGGGCCTCTCAAGCTTCCCTTGGTTGTCATTTTTGAAACGTTGACAATTTTCGGCAATCGAAGAATGCTACTCAGGTGTTTTGTAGAATGTCCTTCAATTGATATTTGCCTGGTTTTTCCTTATGATTGGACAGGGGAAAGAGACCGCGGGGTCAGGTGCCCCCCTGCTTCTGTCCAGGACAGTGCCTTCCCCGGGCCTTATCTCTGCCGAAGTGAACCGTGAGCCTTGTGTGAAGTCCCCTTTCTCCACTTCCACGCGTGCTCTGTGGTGGATGTCGGGAAGAGGGGCTCAACTCACACTCGAGGGGACAGATGGGAAAGTGTGAAACTCCACGTCTTGGAGAGGGGGCGTGTGCAGAAGTTATTGAAATCCCTCTTCAGGAACGTGTCTCCTCCCCACCCCCCCCCACCCCCCCCATCGATTTGTTCAATCGCTTTTTCCATCGGTATGGACTCCTGGACACGTTCATGCTCTGTGTGAAGTTCAGTACCCCCTGTGTGTCTCCCTCCCGATGGGCCTCGTGCGCATCCTGTCGGCACCACCTGCCATCTGGTCCCTCGAGACCGCCAGGCCCTTCTCAGCCCTGCCCTGCACCAACCTTGGAAAATCCCATTTCCCCAAGGAGCCTGGCGCCCTCTGCTGGACGGTGATGGGCGAGAGCTTGTTCTCCTGACCCCAGTCCACGCTGGCTGACCTCTGTCTTACGATGTTTTGACTGGGCACTCAAGGAACTGAGCCGGCATTCCTGGTCGGCGGCCTGCTTTGGGGACGCAGTCCTCACGAGAGGGTCTGCGGCTGCTCTGCCAGGCACCTGAGCACGGCAAGCAGCGGCCTGTAAACCGGGCTGATTCTCAGGGGGCTGTGTCCCTTCTCTGCGGAGCCCAGGCCAAGAACCAAATCCTGCCCTGCAGTTGTCCACGTGAGGCCAGCTCATCTTCGGGGGGTTGGGGGGGCCGTCCCAGGACGTGTGACTGCCCTGGGCAGGTTCTGCTTCCTTCTGGAACCCAGCACATCTCCCTGCATTTTAAAGGCTTGTCTAATCCTTTAAAGTTTTTCAGAATTACTTTTGTGTTTTCGTGATGCATTTGAACCAGCGTGCTTGGTTGTCACGTTGGGGACGCTCCAGTCTGCCCTGTGGCCCCTCTGGTTGTCTTGTGTTTCTTTCCTGATTATCTTCTGCTGCCTGCACTGAAGGAAAATCTTGCAGCAAAAGGTCCCTCCCCTCTGAGAGATTCTGTTCACTTTTCTTCCTTTTACCCTTTCCCCATTTTTGGAAGAACATCGTCAATGGGGCGTTCAGGCATTCTTTGTAAGACTAGGGACATGAAAGCAGTATTTCCGAAAAGTAGCCATGCTTTCCCCTACTGATGAGCCTGTGGTGCAGTGTCCCAGGAGGCCCCAGGTCTTGTACACCAGCCACTCGTCGACACGGTGCCTCCCGACGCAGCAACTCACAAGTAGACCGGACGGTCTTCTACAAAAATTACTCTAAAGAAAATAACTCTAGGGGCAGGTGTCCGACTTCAGCTCAGGTCTTGATCTTACGATTCTTAAGAAAAAAAATCTACCTTTGTTTAAAACAAAAATCGTATAGGGGCACCTGGGTGGCTCAGTCGGTTAAGCGTCCGACTTCGGCTCAGGTCACGATCTCATAGTCCGTGAGCTCGAGCCCCGCATCGGGCTCTGTGCCGACGGCTCAGAGCCTGGAGCCTGTTTCAGATTCTGAGTCTCCCTCTCTCTCTGCCCCTCCCCTGCCCATGCTCTGTCTCTCTCTGTCTCAAAAATAAATAAACGTTAAAAAAAGAATGTTAAACAAAAATCGTACAGTAAATAGCAAAGATATATTTGGGTTTTTCCTCTTCTCTGTTAGCAAGTACGCTCAGCAAACAGGTGCTGACTTTGAGCGTCCCGCTTCAACACACATGGGGCTATATCTGTATTCACAGTGTGTTTCGATTTTTTTTTCTAGCTTGATCCTCTCCCAGAAAAGGTTCTGCAGCAGAGACCCAATGCTAACGCTGTCCGGTCCATGGAGAAAGTCATAGAAATCCACAGTGAGTTGCCTGGGCCAGCTCTCAGCAGGAACCTCCCGGGGGCACGGGCTGACCCACATCACCCGGACTGTCTTGCGGGCAGGCTACGCCCTGCGCTCCCTGTGCAGACACTGGGTCCCCGCCAGCCTCCCTGCTGGGAAGCCCCTGTGTGCCAACAAACGCTGAGGGGGTCCCTTAGGCCCACCGCCCCCCGCCCATCTCAGAGGGTCTGCATGGGAGGCCCCTTCGCACGGGCAGTGCCCGAGTCGGGGGGGGGAGGCCCCACTCCCGAGGACTTGGCTGGCAGTGTGGGGGAGCCCAGCGTTTGTGAGCCAGGGGGTACCCCGGCTTCTGTCCCCCGAGAGAGGTGCTCTTCAAGGCGCCCGGGAGGAGTGCGGCTCGAGACCCCGGGAAGGCGGGTGACTCCCGGTAACGGCTCTTCCCTTGCCCCAGGCCAGTACTGGCGCTCCCTGCCGCGCCTCTGCTCCACGGTGGGACACTCTCTGGTAGAGGCCCAGAAGTGCGAGAACGAGGAAGCCGAGACCGTCACCGCCATGGCCTCGCTGTCCGTGGGCGTGAAGCCCGCGGAGAAGAGGTGAGCGCCTCCGCCCTGGCCCGGCGGGCCCTCCCAGGAACTGTGCCCCCTTCTGCACACCGCCCCAGACCTGGCCCTTGTGTCTGAGGCGCGTGGTTTCTCCCGCAGGCCCTGCCTTATGCACCGGGCCTGCCCCGGAGGGGTGGAGGGCGGGGGTCCCCACGCGCACGGCCAGCTCTTAACGGCGCCAAAGACCCAGAGAAGCACTTGGAGACCCTTCACTCGGGAGCGGGGGGCCCGCCACGACCGCCCTTGGGGGGCAGGGGCACAGGGAGCGCGGAACGGGCAGCAGGAGGGCGCGGGTGCGGGAGGTGCCCCGAAGCAGGTGGGCACCCCCCCGACCCTCCCCGCTTCTCTCTCCCTCTGCCGTGCCCGCCGCACCCCTGCTCCCCCCGGGGTGCCGCCGCAGACCGGACGAGGAGCCCATGGAAGAGGAGCTGCCCCTGTAGCCTCCCCCGGAGCTGCGGTTCTCTTGTCTGTTTGTCCCTGTCTTGAAGCTCCGCCAAGAACAGCTCCTGTTTCTCTGCGGCCTGCCCGCGATCTCTGGCCAGGGCGTGAGCGGCAGCGGGGAGCCCTCCCTGCCCGGCCCCCGGGCCCCCCCCCGGGCGGGCAGCGTTGCGCGGAACCGGGACAGACGCCGGCCGCGCAGACACATGGACACACACGCGGCCAGGCTCTCGGCTCCCGGAGGGAAGCCGCGGAGGAGGGAGGCCCGTGCGGCTCGCGGCACAGCCGCCCACTTCGACGCCACGAGGGAAGGAAAACGGAAGTCAAAGATCTGATAACACAAAACGGACTCGATTAAAACTGGTGCTTACAGTTGATTATCACCCACAATTCCACAGTCTCCGTGTAAACCACTCAACTCATCCCGTAGCTTCTTTTTTTCTTTAACGAGAACGTTCTCTAGGCCCCGGCCGCCTCCGTGGCCCGCAGCGGCGGGGTCTGCGGCCGGGCGGGGGGGCGGAGTGGACACGCGCAGGAACGTGAGCCTGCGGGACCCGGCTTTGCTCTCTCAAAGCCATCGGAAGATGCGAGTTTGTGCCTTTTTTTTATTGCTCTGATGGATTTTTGTGGCTGGGTTTTCTGAAGTCTGAGGAACAATGCCTTAAGAAAAAATAAACAGCAGGAATCGGCGGGACAGTTTCGGGCCTGGCGGGGGAGGGGGGGTGGCCCACGCGCCCCGAGGCCGCTGCGTGCTGGCCAGGGTGGGGGGGCGCTGCTGGGGGGGGGGGCTGCCGTCCCGTGGCCCCTGTTTTGCTTTAGTGCTGTTTAAGAGACGTGCAGGTAGTTCCAGCAAAGTGGCAAATACTGTTGGGGGTTTTGAAGTCCGACAAATTTTAAATGAATCCAAAGTGTTCTTTTCTCGTACGTCATTTAACAATTGAGCATCTCCATTTGGTTGTGAAGCATGTCCTAGGCTCACTTCCAGTGTTACGATCGGAATGCTTTTCATTAAAAGCAAGTAGCATGAAGTATTGCTTAAGTTTTAGGTATAAATAAATATATATATGTATAATATATATTCCAATGTATTCCAAGCTAAGAAACTTGATTCTTATGAAATCTTGATAAAATATTTATAATGCATTTATAGAAAAAGTATATATATATAATAAATGCAGGTCGTAAAGGTCCCTGGCGAATGAATGACGTGTGGACTAGACATCCAGGTGCTTACGGAAAGGGATCTAGTTTGAAACTCAACGTATTTTTGAATTCCAGATTGGATAGCTTCCAGATCGCCAACGAGTCCGCCACTGGACGGCTGCCTTCGGGTGTGAGCTGTCCTTCCCGCTCTTTCCGGACGGGACCCTCCTGGTCCGAGCCTCCTCGCACATAGTTACCTAATGAGTTTTTATAGCAAAGGATAGACATTTGCTGTTGATTTTTGTATGAATTTTCCACAAGGAGATCCTGAATAAGCATTGTTTTGTGAATTTTACGTTTTGTTCTCACCATTTAGCAGTTTCCTGAATGGTAATAATGTCTAAACCTTTTTTCTTTCTAAATTCTTGCTTGTACATTTTTTTTTTAACTTTTAAAGGTTTTTTTTTTTTATTATTATTTTCATTGTTGTTTATTTTCGTACAGCGAGCAGTTTGCTGCGGTGCACGGAACTGCCCTCGGTTTGTTTTCAGAAAGTGAGCTCGAGGTGGGGGGGGTTGGCGTGCAGGCTCCTGGCCGTGACTGGCTGTCCCGGCCCCGCCCCCCACGGCTGCGCCCATTAGCGAGGGGCTTTTCTTCCCTCCACACCGGTAGTGTTACAGGGGGTGCTGTGTTTTCCCCTCGGCAGCCGCGCGGGGAGGATCGCAGGGTCACTTGCCAGACGCCTCGGGCCGTCAGCACTCATGAAACTCCTGTTTCAACTTGCCTGGCCACGTTGTCAGGATAGGATTTTAAATTCAGTTTTCCAAAGACCTTTTAAAGCATGTCAGCAAAATGCATGGGGCCGGAGTGAGGCCCACACCTGTTCTGGGTTTTTCCGCCGCGGCCACACGGCCGGGGGCCGGCCGAAAGCAGCAGGCCCCGGATTTTGGAGCCTGTGGCTGCGGGAGCCTAGGGGCCCCCGCCGCCTGGCGAGCCTGCAGGGACAGCACAGATTCCTGACCAGGGCAGCCAGTCTTTGCTCTTTTTGTCTCGGACAGTAACTGACCGTCACTTTTTTACTGGTAACTTATTTTTCAGCACTTGAAGACACCAGTTTCATTCCAAAGCATGTAGTGAGTTCAGAGCCGCGGGGAGAGTTCAGGCACGGCGCTCCCGTCAGGAGGGAGCCCCAAGCCACGCTTCGGAGTCTGGTCGCATTCACAGGGTAGCTTCTGAGACACTGATGCAGGCGGACTCCTGACCGAGCGAATCCAGATTCTTAGGTTGGCTCGGTCACGGGGACGTTGGTGGTCAGGTCCAGGACAGCGACCTGAGAGTAGGACAGAAAGGTCTTGGGGCGGGTGTGACTGCGCCCCCTCCCGCCGGCCCCTCCTTGCTGTGGGGCCCAGCCCACCTTGGCGGGAGGAGCCGGTGCTCGGGAGCCAGCTGGGCCATCCGGGCCGGTGCGGAGCGGCCCGTGGCCAACTGGGGCCCTGCTCCGCACGGCCCACGGGCCGGCCCCCCCCCCCCCCCCCCGCCGCCGGCCGGCCCCGGCTCTCGGAGAGGAAGAGGTCATCTCACGCTTTTTACAGTGACTGGGTCAGGGAGCCGTCCGAGGGGGGCTTGCTCCCCGTCTCCTGCGGGGAGACCCCTCGGCAGAGAGGCCTGGGGGGCGCGGCTGCTGTGTCCGCGCGCCCCAGCCCCACAGATGTGCTTAAAGCATTACCGTGTAGCCTTTTCTTTTCTTTGAAGACACACTCGGCCCTTCCCCGCCGCCAGCCGCCAGGGTGTGCAGGACCCCCGCGCCGAGGGGGGTGGGGGGCGCCTCCCATCTCCCCTCTCCGGTCCTTGCGCCTAATTTAGCCTTTTTCTTCCTTTGCAAAGGCCTCGGGGGCACCGGCCGGGGGTCAGCGAGCGAGCACTTTAGGTCCCTCCGCGGGACTCCCCACGATGCTGCCGGGGACGCGTGGCGCCCGCCCTTTCGGCTCCCGCCGCGCCCCGGCGTGCCCGAGCCCCACCAGCAGGCGGCCGCCCGGCTCCGGAGGGCCGCTTTGTCAGAGTGTTTCGGTTTTTCTCCACTTACTTTCGAACACCTGTTTCCAGAGGAAGGACCGCCGGGTGCTGCTCCGCACGGAAGCCAGGGCGGCAGAGTTTGTCGGTTTTAATTTTCGATCAGAACATTCCTCCTTCGCTGGTCACAGCCACGTGCTCATTCCATTCTTTTTGTAGACTTTCGGGCCCACGTGTTTTATGGGCATTGATACATATATAAATATATATATAAACATATATGAATCTATTTTTTTAAGTTCCTACACCTGGAGGTTGCATGGACTGTGTGGCCGGCATGTCTCTATCGTACACAGATTTTGCACGCCAGAGTCGGCAGCTTTGGGGAAGAGGAAAAATGCCTTTTTGTTCCCCTCTCACGACATTTGCAGATTCGACAGATGGGAGTTTTTCTGTGAAACAAAACCTTGAAGGAGAGTCGGT